TTATTACAGTGGTTTTGAAACTGTCAATGAAATTAAATGCCTAAATGTAACTGAATGTCAATGATTAATTGTCACAAGGTTTCACAAGTACCAAGGTCACAATGAAGATGATCCAAAATTTCTCAGGTACAAGAAGCCAGAGGTTTTCATATCAATAAGATCTTAAGCAAATTCCTCAGAAACAAAAAAACAGTTTCCAAACAGATCGTCTCATCATAGCTCTTTGGAAATTCATCATATTTGGGAAATGCATGAAAACCCACAAAAAAATTCATGACTAAAACACTATCATCAGCCTTGAGGGGATCCATGGGGAAATATAATGTCACAGCTTGTAAAGAAAAAAATCCAGGCAATGTTATAACCAAAACTTTGAACACATGAGAAGATTTGACTTATTTGACACCATGTTGATCATTGCTAACTGACCAAGAGAAGACACAAATAAATCTTATATTCTAATTACTTCAGCTCTAATTCTGTGATAAGGGTTTGAAAACTGATGCTAAGCTCATTATCATGTTAAAAACATCACTTTCCTAGTCAAGGCAAAGCTTGGAGAAATGTTTTGCCAACTAGTGGAGAAGCATCTCACAGGATCTGAATTATGAAATTAATGTGTACTTGGCCCTACAAAGTTTCTTCATTTCTTACATAAGTTTTTCATTAGTCCAGCCTTTTTCCTGAGTCTTATTTGATTTTTATGGCCTGGGGTCTTCTCACACATAAAATGGGAAGTGATATAGTCTTGCTTTTGTTGCTGAAATGTGAGATAAGGTACTCTTTGGTGAGTTTGTCTATGGTATTGCTTGGATTTTGAAATAATTTTCCTAGTTTCAGCCTTGACATGCAGGCAACAAACCTTCCAAACAAGGTGCTCACATCCAGTGCACAGGTTATAAAATGGATCAGTTTATGCATTGTATGTGATAGAGAATACAAACAGAGTGACACAAATTAAACTCTGTGTAATAGCCTGAAATGCAGCCAGATGAAACCTCAAAGAGGACAACTTTTGATTTTGCGGTTTCCCAAGCTCAGGCCAGTCATCTCTCCTGGTGGGCTGGTATTCAGGGGGGATAATCATGGTAATCATGGTTAGCTAGAGCAACCACTGCTTTCCACAAAACTACATTTAGAAAATTTGTCTCGGGCAATGTCTGTATTTTTCTTGAAAAAGCAAGGATGCAATGAGGAAGTGATGAGCATCTCTGGCAAACTGACCAATTCCAAGCCTAATCAAACTGTGTGGTTTCCGACATGAAGTCTTCAAGGCAGATCCAATCTGCATTGCTGAAGAATTTAGACAGAATAAACACAATGTAAAATCACACAGAAATCCCTCACTTGCAAATTTATGTCTTTAAACTTGGTGTTTACAAGTATCATGACACTGCATGGTCTCTCCTCTTTATTTTATTGATCACTCATCAGCCTCTAATACTATTTTTCTCCTTTCTTGAATTTTATAATTTTCTGTTTCCCCCAGTAAGAAAACAATCCTGTCTGGGGACACCTTAGCTCCTTTACATGGAAGCTCATGGGTTCTCCATCAACCCAAGCATTCATTTGATAACTCAGCTTTGGCATCTTAGCTAAACTTGCTGTTTCTTGGCTCAGATAGATCCCTGCCCATGCAAATACTTTTTTCATTGCCCAATCAGTGTGAATTCAGGCAGTTTAGTTTAAACAATACTAGGAAAGAGCTAAAAAGGTCTGTTTGCACCGGTGTCAGCTGCAAGTGGTGACCTTTCTTACTGTCTGGCACAGACAGTAAAAGTACTCACCTTTTATTTCACTGTCTCTGGTCCAGCCTCCCACCTTCATGGCAAACATCAGTCTTAGAACAACCACAGCATTTAAATTGAGACAGATGCTCATTATTGAGCAGAATGTTGTAAGACACAGTGAAAAGAGACACCTACACCACACACTGTGTGGTGAAGAGACACTTTCACTACACAGTGAAGGGGCACCTACACCAGCAGGGACAGGACTCAGCTGGAGAGGGCAGGTAACCAGGGTCTGATTCTCTAAATGCTCATACTCCACCCTGCTTTGCATCTCTCATGACCTCAGCTAATCTGATTTAACACTGCAATCCAGTGCTCACTCTGACCATCAGTGATCTGAACACAAGGCAGTAAAAAAAGTGATCTTTCCCAGCTGAGATTAGTCACTTGGAGTAGGATCCATCTCAACTGATGGAAATGTCTCCATCTCAGCTCCCCTCTCTTTGTGGACAGTGAACAGATGTTTATAAGGTTATCTTGATCTCAGTGTCATGGTGACACCTAGAATGGTTCCTGTGGATCACACTCCACACCATAAATGTCTACAGTGAAAGAAGATTAATTTGTCCTTGCTAATTTAAATACCCTTTCATATTTTGTTGCACCAATAACTTTAGCTTTATGATAGTGTATTATGATGAACAGAACTGCAATAACTAGGTCTGAGTCACAGGTGTAAGGCAGGGCTTCTGTGGGGACATGGTATGGTTCTGAAGACACTGAGTGCTCTGCCATGAACAGAGTGAAGCAAAGAGGGAACAAGGCACAAGAAGGATATTGGATATCACCCTGCCAAGTGAGCTATTCATCAGACTAAGAAGAAGAACAATTAGCACACACATTAATCTCTAGCTCAGCAATTCATCTTGCTTAGACCAAGGTATCACTCTATTTGCTTTGGAAGGCTTGGTTGTTGCCAGACTGGGGACACCAGCTGAGCAACTGCAGTGAACACATAACCTTAATAAGTGAGATTTTTGCTGCTGTAACCACATCCCATTTTTCCCCCCCATTTTTTATTATCATCTGTCTTGAATCATTTCCTTGTGGGAACTTCAGCTACCAGTGCTAATGCTATTACATATAAGAGCTGTCATTGATGCCAACACAAAGGAAAACAAGTACTTTTTTGTTAAAATGTAAAAATTCCCATTCTATTTGAGCTGGGCTACATTTTATCTTACTCACTGTAACAAAAATGACCTCGTGCATGCATTTGCCTTTAACAGAAAGCTAAAACTGACATTTGAAACCTCAAGCGATAGTTTTAGTAAGGAGGAAAGGTAGAAAATCAGAGTAAAGTTGAACCTGATGTCAGGTTTAACAATAAAACAAAATTTTCACATGCTGTTTGTTTGCTCTAACATCTGAAAGGGTTTGGGAGAGTAAAAAAAAAAAAAGGCTTGTATAATTGTGATTTTCACTCTGCCCCATTTTTGCTCATATACAAGTTCACACAGTTTTTAGTTTACCCAGTTCCTTGTTGGCTCAATTAGGTGTCTGAGAACCTTGGGGGTTTTTGAGCCTGTGTGGGGGCTGTGTCTAGAAAGAACTTCCCAAGACATTCTGCACCCTAAACCCATTCCTCTCCTTCATCACATGGTAAAGGACCATGTCCAGCATGAGTTAATCCAGCATCACAGGTTATTTCTCCATAGCATGCCTCCTGCCAAAACAGCCCATTCTTTACACAAGACAGGACTAAAGAAGGAAAGAAATGTGTCCTAGCAAACAGTGAGATGAATTTCTGACTGTAAAATTGGAAACAAAAAATGACATATGAAAACAGAAACTTAAAATGTATCTGACTCCAAAGTTCCTTTTTAGCTGTTCCAGTATCTTGGCTACAATGAATGCAAAGATCTGGCAGTGTAATGCTTCTCCCTCTCTCTTTATTTCCCCTTCTTCTTTCTTCAAAGTCTGGCCTCACCTTGGAAAGTTTGCTGAGTTTAGTTTTCTTTTTCATTGCAGCTTGAGATTCTTCCTGCTGCCTCTCTCTCCCTTAGCCTGCTCCATGTTTGCATTCAGTGTCAAATTATGAAGTGGACTCTTCCTCTCCTTTTGTGAGGATTTTCTCAGGACTATCTGCCTGGTTTTGTCCTAAGACACTGTCTTCATTTGGAATTAATATTTTCTTTCTATGATAAAATGTTGGGTTATCTGAAATTGTCTATTGTACATGGTCTCAATCATTAGAACTTATTATGTTCCTTCTCCTTTTCATGGCCACAAGGAAACATCCTAGCTAAGTCATCTCCCCACCCCAGTCATAAAGAATGGAATGAGATGAAAGAAAGAAAGAAGATGGGTGAAAAAGGGTAAAGGACATGGTGAATTTTTCTTTGATTTTCCCCCACATCATTTACAGTTCTGTTTCATACTGGCCTCCCAAAAATTTTAAGTAGCAAACATTTCTAGGAAGCCGACCATCTGAATTGTCTCATTTATTCTAGTGTGTTTCTTCAGTGGGTAACAGTTCACTGACCTGATGGGGTCAGATTGTGCTGTAGGTGCTCTTCCTGCTGGAGGCCAGGGTTGTGTTTCCTGGAGCTGCAAGAGCTTTCCTTTTCATATAATTTCATAATCCATACTTGTTCACTGTAGTGAGAAAATGAAGCGCACAACTTGCCATTCACTCTGTCCCCTGCTGCTGTTTTACTGGGCAACCCTTAACACTTCTCTTGACCTTTTTATTCCTTTGTTCAACCCAAGAGTCCTTTAAGCCAATATAATTAGTGTTTTATGCCTGCTTATGATTTGTTTCTTTGTGATGCCTGCAGCATTGTCATGTTTAAGCTTGGGGTATGCTTTAAGACATGAAGAGTTAAATTTGGGCAGAACATTTCTTAAATCTTACTTATGAATGACGTGTGCCAGAAAAACTTTGGAACTACTATTGACCATTTGCAAAAAGTATGTTTTGCACTGGAATTCCCTTAGAAACCTGACCACTTGAGAAGTGTTTTCTCCTGACAGAAAACACTGTCAGACTGCACACTGCTTGTTCACCATGCATGTTTTTTTTTAATCTGAGGTTAAATTTATTCCTATTTTGGTATTGAAGTCAAAAACATCTTAAACTTCTGAACCACATACAAGAAGAAGAATGATTATGAAAAAAAAAAATAAAATACAAAGTTAAATGGCATTTTCATTCATCTGGAAAAGGCTTTTTTTTTTTCCTTTAAAATTAAGCCCTGAGAGCAACAATGAAGAGAGAGAGGCTGCCCAAAGGTTTAACAGAAAAAACACCCTACAAACTAGTCATTTTAGTGTGGTTACATGTCATGGATAGATCACCAGAACTGTTATCAGCAGTGACAGTTCAGTTCTCCATCACTGGCAAATTCAGCTAAAATGACAAAGGGTGCGATCCACTGGAATAAATGAAAATACACTGATAAACTATAGATGACTTGAAACTATGTAACATCTGTCCATGCAAGTGTCATCCTTATAATCCCATTCACTTGCGCAAGACTTTGTTCTCTCTTTGTTTTTAATCTGTATTTGTACTGTTTCTCATGCCTGTATTAACGCAAAACTAAAACTCCACTCCGTGTCATACCTCTCTAGCATGACATAAGCTTGCTGGCAGGGTGGGACAGCTAGTACTGATCCACAGCTCTGCTTGGTGTGGTGCAGAAGTTTCCAGCCTGCTGGAGTGGTGCACAACAGCCGCAGTTGCCAGGTCTGTCAAGGCGGAGGCATTTAGCAGAGCTGCAGACAGATCCTTCAGATAAGTACTTGAGTGCAGAAACATCTTGGCTTTCCAACTTCTGCCAGAAACCAGCTGTTTTCAAGGCCTGTTCTCCTGACTGAGATGTGGGACCAGCATCAGGAGGCAAAAAGCCTCTGTCAATGAGAAGCTTGCTGAAGTGAAACACGCCATAGGTGAGTGTCTATTAAGTAGAGGAGATGGGTTTGGATAGGTGCAGTTGGTGGTACCTGGCAGACAGGTGAGCAGATTGATGTAGGGGTAGAGCTGGCTTCCCCCTGTGTTAGAGCTCTGCCATTTCAACTGCATGTGTGCAAGAAACAACTGAGAAAATATGGAAATATGTCTGCTAGTGCCCATGTAAGGCTACATCTCGGAAGCTATTGCTTCTTGTCACCAGCAGTGGTGTGGCTGGGGCGCAGGATTCATCTCCCCTAATTTTAATATCCCAAAGTCAGAATAATGTGAAAATCCCTAATTTAATTTTATGGAGGGCTGGGTCACTATTTTCTTCAGTTTCTTTCTGGGTGGGTCCACAGCTACAAGTTTTGCTTGTGTTTCAGGTCCAAATAAACTGAAATTATCAAAATGAAACACAGTCAAAACTGCCAAATTTTATCTGGTTCATTGTCAAAATCATGTGAGAATGCAAAGCATAAATCAGTAAAGGATTACTCAAAACTGTGTTTAAGGTTCCCTCAGAAAGTCCAATATTCTTATTAAACATGAAATCCCATGAATTTTACATAAATTGGAGTAACAGAGACTGTGTTCCTCATGGCTCCATAAACCTCATTTTAGCACTTCATACTTCATCTTATCTGAAAATTGGTCTCATTTCAGTTGTCCAGACTGAATCCAAAATTTCACTGAACATGGTGATAATTTGATTATATCCTAAGAATCAGCCTCAGAGTTGGATCCACTGGAAGAACTGAATAGAGGAGAATGTTTGATGCTTCCAGGACCCTTTGGAAACACAAGTACTCCGTCTTTCTAAGACAGTAATATTTAAGAAAAGCAAGCATATCAACAAAAAACCCATGGGTCCTTTTATCTTGCTTCCTCATGAATGTAGTTTTTGTAGTTTCTGTGCCTCAAGAGAGGAATACCCCAAATCTATATTTATTTATGCTTATAAATAAAGCATATTTATACACTTTATAAATATGTCGTGTTCTAAGATATTTTTACTATATGTAAATATTTATGTATATTTATCCAAATATCCAAATATCTAACTCATTTAATCATAAAAAAATACTTGTCTTAAAGACAAGGAATTAATTGTCCTGTGCTTGTATGTGCTCCTGTGAGCGCTTCTCTTCCCATTGGCTTCATTGGGACTCACAATGACCAGTTTACACTACTTAATTCATTTGACATGAATTATATCGCACATATGCTACAGATCTAAACATTACCATTTACAGTTTTCCTTATTAGGAGAATTTATCTTTTTACCCAAAACCAATTTTTAGGCTAGTTCAGAGGTCCAAGTATAATGCTGGTTACAGCTCTGGTTTAAGATGTGTATTTTTTAAGCCCAGCACTTTTATATTTTTCAAAAGCACACACTGAAATAAAATAATAGGGAGAAAATACTTACATTTTGATAAGCTAGTAATGGGGTGAAACAGCTATTTTATCTACTGTTGTTGTGTAATTATTCTGCAATAAGAAGTAGCTCAAACACAGAAACACTGCAGTCACTGAGAACATTTAATATGATGACTGATTATTTAAAATATGCTGTGAAACACTTTGGGTTTAGAAATACTTATGCCCTGAAGACTATCATGAAGAATGGCTGCATTCCACAGCAAGAACAGTGTTTGGAAAGTTTAGCTCACTCCAGTCTACTCACAACCATGATAAATTGCATGTATTGTACATTGTATGTACAGTTTTTATGCAGGTGGCGGGGGAACGGTTGGGGAGGGGTAATTAAAGAAATATTCCTGATCACTTCCCTCCTGCCCCTCTAAGAACACATAGAAAAATTATTTTCCTATTTTATCCCTTAAACTGCAAGTAACACAACTGTTGCATTATCTCTGCAACAGGGATGGAAATCCTAATTTTCCAGTATGTCCTCTCCCTGAGCACCCTGCTCTGCACTGAAACAGGGAAAGCTCCAGAATATCTTTGACCTTGACGCTCATAGCACTAACCCAGCCAGCCCTGTGCTGCCCTTTGCCTATTTCACTGCGTGGGAGGGAGCAAAACCAGATCACTGTGAAGACTTGGAAGGCCAGACTGAAGGCTCCAAGCTCTTCCATTTACCAGGAACAAAAACAAGGAGCAATTTCTTGCTGACACCTTTTCCAGAGAAAACTGGTTACAGTCATTACTAAAGACAAAAGGCAATAGTGATCTTGACAGGAGCAGCTTTGGGGGTTACAGACACGAATGAAACGCTGTGTACTCCTCCCTCTCCTTTTCCTCCTCCAAAATACAATTAATTTATTCAGAGGGAAGCAATGATGAAGAGCGTGGCTGGGTTATCTATGTCACCCCATCTCTTAAAGTCTGAACCATTATTTGTCATCTGTTCAGACATTTTTTCCTAATTACCATTACAAGTGACTTGCAAGTGCAAATCATTTATCCAAGTGACTCAGTTATTAAGTCACATCCAAAAGAATTCACAGACCAGAGCTAGGGCATGAAGTCAAGTATGGCAGGATCTTACACAAATTTTACAAAATTTTGACAATTTTTTTACCAAGACTGGCTGTCCCTGACAGCTGGGACATCATCAGGACTTGACATGTTGGGTATTTGTCTCAGTATGATGGTTTGGGGACAAAGGAGTAAAAAGACATTATCAACATAATTTTAGCACCAGAGGTGACAATGATCTCTGGTCATCTCATTTACTGGCATAGATATAGTCAAAGTGGTTGACTTCTTCTATATGAAAGATATATTTCTCATAACACTGCAAGAATCTATAAGGATTCAAGAAGATACACAGTTTTCATAGATGCACACAGCCTAATACATTTCTCAGAAATTAAATATTTCATTATAAATTTACCGGCATGAACAAAATTACTTCCTCAGAAATATGTTGAAATTCTGAATTCACTGTTTGTCAGGCAGGAGTAAAACTTACGAGAACAAGATGCAATATTTTTGGCAATGTAAAAGAAGTCTTGCAAAACTGAAAATGCTGCAAATGTCTTTCTATAACTTTGTTCCATGCTATGCATTTTGTCAGAAATATTTAATTGAGGAGAAACTCAAATTTTTCTCACAATTCACACAGCAAGAAATGATGCAGTAAAAAAAACCCTCCAGTTTTTTTCCTTTTTTTTCATGCCCCTAAACTCTACTGAGCTAACTGCATTTATCTTAGGAATGTACTTAACAGAAAATTTTCCCATATTAATGTGCAACATACTTAAGATGCTCATCTGTTGTTTTTTTTATTATTATTTTGTCAAACCAAAACATATGGGAATTGTGCAAAATTGTATGCAAAACAGAGAGACTTTGTCAGAAGCAATTTGGTTATAGATTATTTCTGTTTTGTTTTGTTTCATTTTTCATCCACTAAAGCCGTTAGCACTTAATAATGCAGTGCAATTCATTGATTCCCCCAGGCAAGGAAAGATTGTAGGCACAAACATGTTGGGGAGTGGGTTCTTAAATGAGGGTCTCTAACCTCAGAAATTATGTTCTCAGCAACCACCAATTTACAAGATAGAAGTGATTTTTCTCCTTGACCTTTTAGGAAGACAGATAGTACTTCTTTTGAAAGGGATTTCTTTCTTACCTCTTGGTTCATGGTCTTGGATCTGGCTGTAGGCATTTCTGTAGAGCAGAGGGTAGGGCTTAAGCCACAGGGTCTGTTCCTACCTTCCCTCTTCTCAGCACTTCTAGATTGGGCAGGTTGTTGCCTTAAGTTCTGGTTTTTGAGACTCCTACTCTCTCTGTGCATCACAAGGTAAAGCCCCCATCAAAAACGGGTTGGGAGTTCCACTCACCTGCACAGCAGCTGGAAACTTCCAAAGCTGCAGGGTGCTGTGCTATGGAGTGAAACACCTCCTTATCCATTGGCTTTTTGTAGGGAAAAAACCTCCACCAAATAAACAAAGCCAAAATCTCCACAAATTAGATGAGGTCTGCAGTCTGCACATCTGAAAACACAAACAAAAAACAAACCAAAAATCCCCCCCAAAAAACAAAAAAAAAATCCGAAAAGAAAAACCACCAGAAAAATTCTTAGTAAAATATAATTCTGAATAACTTAACTCACAAAACCAACACAGAATAAGCTTTGCTTACTGTAAGGGGTTCTTAAATTCTTTTCTGTTCAGCACTTTTGATGCGATAACAGCTTCCATAGACATTGCAACGCTGACCTGTTCAACATTAAGTAAACTAATCTAAAACTGCATCATGGCTTAAAATATAATTATTCACTGAGCAGCTATCACTGAAAACAATTCCACAGACTATGTGTAGAATAAGACCTGGTCAACATAAACCAGATTAAAACGAACCCACATAACAAAAACAATAAAAGTATGTGGAGTGACCAGACTTTATTTCTGCTTTGCTTGATCCACAAACCATCTTGACCACCCCTTGTGTAACTTGTAAAGGAAACACAATTAACTCAGGACTCAAAACTCTCTATTTATTCTTCACACCTGAAGAGGAGATGTGGGTTATGCTAGGAAATAATATAGTTGAGTTACAGTCTGTACAGAGTACTAGTGAAGAACTAAACCCAAGCTGAACTCAACTGAGTCTGAAATAGGATTAAACCTGGAATATGTTTATTAGGAAGAGAAACTTAAATGCTAAACATAAGTGCCATGTCTCTGTGACTGACCTAATAAACATTCATAGAATCTTTCTAATTGTTTGGAGATTGGTGGGTTGCTCTTTAGGTCACTAATATTTATACATGATACATGCTTCAGCTAGATAAAAAATGATGCTTGATAGACTTCAGGAATGATACTGGGAAAAAAGACACAACATTCCAGCTAACGACAGCCAAAAATCCTTCAAGAAATTAGCAAAATAGAATAACACGGTGCGCATCATAATGGGGTATTTATTTATTTTGTTAGTTTGATTGGGTAATACAAACCCCTGATAGATAAGGTGATTACAAAACAGGAATAGCAGCCAAAGTCCTGGCACAAATTACTAAAATCTCCACCTCACTTTTGTCAAGATCAGCATCGTTCCCAAGCCAAATTTCATGAAAAGGATACACTACTTGAAAACAACAATGAGAAAGGGATCACTGGAGACATAGAGTCTGGCAACCAAGTCCTGGGAAATTCTTTTGGAAAAGTGACTAAACTGGAAGCTAAGAGAGGCCTTCCTGATATTTTAAGGGGATCTGTATCCACAGTACACTCATCATAGAAAATCAGGTTTTGTGATAGTCAATCATTTTCCAAAATTCAGAAGTTACAAGAGGATCTTGGTTTTTTATGTATATAAAAAGCCAAAACAGAAATCAAATCACAAAAAAGAAAATAAAACCAAAAAGAAAGAATGAAAGAAAAAACTCAAAACAAACAAAAAAACCCCAAACCATGAACAAAACCACAAAATGTTTTTTTCATTATCTAAGTTATTCTCTATGGATTTTTAGTTGGTCATATTAAAACTGTGCATGAATCATGACCATGACTACAAATGTGATGATGAAATGCCAAAATGAGTTTTCCCTTTCAGACCAAAAGCAACTTGTAACTTTGAGTGATCAGATGCCATTGACATTGTGACATTATAGCACACACTAAATTGTACACTCTATTATTAGTTGGGACAATCCATACAGATTACTTAATTCTAATACCAAATACATTTTTTTGTTCTCCTAGACTGCCTTTACCAAACATGTAGTCCCATAAGTCCCTTTTCAATTAAGAAAGTTGCATGTTTTTCTACCTGGTCATGAGGATATCTATTATAACATCCATCATGACAACCATTACTAAATATTTAAAAGGAAATAAAAATCTATTGTATAAATTATTTTGTTCAAAACATACATAAACTGCCTTAGAAATGGTAAAAATTGTAAAAAGCTTATGACAATCAAACAGTTGCCATGTGGACAAGCACAAAATACTAGTATTGTAACAAAATGGTAATGTTGATTCTTCCACTCTGACCAGAATAAAAAATGGAATGTTTGTGTCTAAGTACCTCCGTAATTCTTACGTATTTATTAGTTAAAACTACCCTTGATTTGACCTCGTCATAATTTAATCTCAAAGTGATCTCTTTACCTTTCAGGAAATGTTTCTCAGTTCTTAAAGTCAATCTGCATGTTAGACAAAGCTGCCTATTTGCACTTTTTAATCCTGGAAGGGTGGCAGTCAGTGGAATGATGGAAATAAATGATCAGGGACTGAATAGTGCTTACATTTCTCATACAATGTTCTATAAGATTTATATAATGCAGTTTAAAACTGTCTGATTGTCCTCTTGCTGAAGTTTATTACCTTGTTCATTTATTCAGAGAAGGTCAAATTCTATCAAAGAATTGATGGCAGATTCTCCAGTCGTAAACATAACTCTTATCTGAGAACAAATCATGGAAAACTGGGAGGAATTGGAAATTATTTCATTTAATGATAAACATTAGTTCTCAAATATCTGACTTTTGACTGATTTCATCAAACAAAACTATGCTTTTTCTTCCTTTTCAGGAAATTGTAAGGATTATAGAAAACTGAAATTTGATGAAAGCTAATATATGAGAAACATATAGCATTAAAAGGTTCAGTTAAAAGTTGTATGTTAGGAACAGGTTAAATGTTCTGCTTTTAGATGCTCCTTCTCTTCATTTCTTAAAGCTTTTATGTTCATTCCTACCTAACATGTAGATGTAGAAAAAAATTATCCTATATTATTCTATATATAAAGATAAAATATTGCAGACACTCAATAAATTTTGAATATAAGCTTCATGCTAAAATTAGTTTCAAATTTAAATTTCAGGGGTTTTATAAACAAGTTTCAGAATGCAAAGATAAAGCAGAATGTCATTGTGAACATAAAAATATTATTTTAATTAATAAGATGAAATTAATGATATCTGAATTGTATATCTGAACACATTTTTCAAGATAAACTTGAGAAAATTATACTTGGTGTACCAAGTTGATTTTTTTCCTGAACAATATTTTAAAAATAACATTGCCCACCCATTTTTTCCTGCCTTTTTTTTTTCAAAACAAAGAAGATAGGAAATACTTGGTGGGCTAGATCAAGTAAAGCAAGTCCCTTTTATATTCACAGATGCATAAAGACATCCTGCTCTTTGCTCTGCTTTAATCAGGCTTTTCTAAAGTAGGGTATGAACTTAGTAAATGTGTTTTTTTGCCCTGCACGTGAAGCAGAAAAGTTCCCAAAAGAAAAAAAGGGATTGGATATTCTCTGCTAAAGCACTAACACCTTATCTCATTAAGTCTGGTGCTTAGCAGGCAGAAGGGTGCAGGTTTCCAGTCCATTGAATTTTCAGAAGGTTGCAGACAATACCATTTGCCTGAACTGCGACAGTAATGAACAACCCCATAGCATAAAATTTCATCCCAATCAGCTGTAGAGTAGCAGCAATGTAAATATCTTATTCAAAACTCTCCCAAACAGGTACAGAAATCTAGATAGCCATTTCCCACTGGCTTTAAATCAGCTGTCTAAATGCCATCTTAACTCTGGACTGTTGTAAAAAAATATGTAGCGTCTTTTGCTTTTATTCATGTGGAGACGCATTCTGTACTGCCTTGTAAAAACAAATCCTTCACTGCACAGCTCAATCCCTGATTAACTTGAGCTCAGTAAAATCAATGACATAGTCTTCTTTGCAAGAAATTTCTCCTAATCTACAGATGGGTCTTTTGTGTCTCTGTGTGCATCTGCACATGTATGTACAACCATCTGTTTCACCTGAAACTTAGAATTAATATGTACAACATATTCACACTCATCATGTGAAATTAAAGATCTGAGAAACTAAATCTATTTACTTTCTGGGGGTGTCTATTGGAGTAAATCCACCAGTGGTGTCCAATAGGGAGCACGCCAGTAAAAACTTGGACATAGTTGTCACATAAAGAACACCAAATAAACATGGGCTACTGAAAGTGAGTACTGATCAAAAATCAGTCTATAATGCCTAATGGGCATTAAATACTTTGACCCTGGCACTTAACCAAGAGGACTAGAAGAGCAAACGCCAACTATTAAAATAGAAGCATTACTTTTATATCACATTTATTACACTTTCATATTTTTCTATGTGCTGTTTCCATCACTCTGACTTGTCATGATAACTTGTTTCTGGCTCTTCCTCTATTTCTGCTGATCCAAGGGGTTCATTCAATACCCACTAATAGAGGCAAGGGAAATCTTTCCATGACTTCAGTGAACTCTGGATCAGATCTCACATTTTCTTAAACTTTCACATCCTTTGAGACTCCAGCTCTCGCTATTTACCTTAGACAATATTGTCTTCACAAATGGATATTTTTTTACTATGAAAATCAGTCTTTCCTTCTTGTTGAGGAAAGCGATGCCAGCCCCATTATTTATATCACATTTAGCAAACCCACAGGAGTTAAGCAAATCTGGAACCCTCCAGGAGATTGACTGCCTTGATGAGTGTAGCATAAGTCACCCAGGCTGAGGCCATTCACTCAGTTATTTCTGTGTGTAAATATTAAGTTACAATGTAGTGTAATGGAACTAACAGTGCCTGCCCCAAGTCAGGTGCAACGAATGAGCTCTGGTTCAGTACCAACAGTTACACACACACAGCACCCTTTCTCACACATGGACATGCATTCTCTCAGACACTGAGACCAGCTTCTCTGTAATTTCACATCCCTGGGACACCACTGCCTTCTTTTGTTGTTGTCCAGCAGGTGAAATTTCCCAGCCTGCAATGAATTGACTGCGCCTCTGCTGGAGAAGGGATGGAACTCAGGACCCACGCTCGGACCACTTGGAGAAGGGTTACTGCTGAAATGGATGACTTTTCTGAGCTTAAAAACAGATCTGACCTCCCTTAATGGTCCTCTTCTCAGTTTGGAAGATTATTAGCCAAACATGCGGTTGCATTCTGTGGTTTTGGACCATGAGAGGACAGGGATGGTGAGACAAATTATTTAGTACATGAAGCACCTTGCAAAGTCTTGTTTCACATGGGCCACTTGTTTCTGTGGATTGTCTGTACAGAGCACACAGAACTTCTGTGCCATCGCTTTATTAACAGTAGTGCAAAGTCTATGTTTCCCATATTACCTACCCATCTTACAGAGGAGAAAATATCAATGATATTTCTTCCACCCTCCCCAGAAAGTATCAAATGATTCTTCAATCTGGCCAAAACAGAGAGGACATTATATCTTAAATCATAGCTTTTTATGAATTTGCTGCTAAAATACCAATGAATTTCCCAATGCAAAATAATTAGCCAAACTGCTAACAGGAGCAGTTTGTCCACATGAAAAACCCTGATTTACTTATTTTTTTAAATGTGCACAGAGGGAGCAGACTTTTGTGTCTAAAAAACTTCCATACTTTCATTATAAAAATAAATATTTTTCACATTATAAATATGTAAACCAAGCTTTTGAAACTTCTTTATGTCTAATTCATCTAGTTTGATGTTGCTTTCTAGTAAGCTACAATTATTTTCCCTGAGTTCCTTGGTTCAGTCATCATTCATCAGTTCTCACAATAAAAGGAGTTTTTACAGCTGGGTTATAAACCAAATCAATGGAAATGTTGATGCAGTATTAACTATATCAATCCTAACAGGTGTCTCTATAACAGCCCTTGTAAAAGAAACACCTCTATGCAGCTCACCATCAGGCTCCAAGGAGTGTGCAGAAGGAGAGATCAGGGAATAATGAGTAATTAAGGTTTCACTAACCAGAAAGATAGGTTCTTTCGATTTTTGTCCATAAAAAGTCACATGTGTAACCATTGTGGTAATATAGATCTCAGCTGCACACTTCCAGTAAACCCATGACGAAATATTAAAAACCCCGAAGAGGAATGGCTAGTCTTCCAATTAACTTACTCATCCTATGCAACTCCAAGGGCTCTGCCACATACTCATATACAGGTGTCCACATAAGGGATTTTTAGTGAGGGAAATGGTGTCTATTGGAGTGGTTGGGATGAGAATATGTCACTGATCAGACATATTTATTGCTTATTCACAGTTTAGGAAACGTCTTTGCACTGTGTGTTGGAAGGCCAAGCTGAGAATTTCCTGGGGAGATGACCAAGAGCCCACTGCAGAAAGCACCACCACAGCCCTTGGAGGTGCCCCAGGACAACAATCTGTCACTAGGAGCCCTTCTGGGATGCACAAAATACACTGTTCTCTAAAGTTGGTATTGTAGGGCTATGTGCTTTATAGCTTTATTTTTTTATTTTATTTTTTTTTGCTTTCCCACCAATAAAGATCTCCCTCTGATTAGTGCACCTCAATCTATGTCACATGAACGACCCCTCATTTTTCATCCCTTTCTCCTGCTGCAACCCTGCAGAGCAGTAGCATCTTCCTTGTGCTTTGGACAACTGCACATCTGCATAGGCTAGAAGGATGGTTATTCAAGGCCATTGATTTCCCCTAGAGAAAGATGAGGCACCTCCAGGGGTGATTAGTCAAGCTTTTAATTAACTTTTGTATGAGTCACAATGGGCTAAAAGTTACGATTAATTAAATTTCTAATAACACAATAACCAGTAGCAAAAAGAAGGACTGCAGTGTGCAGAACACCTGCTCCTGACCAAATCCCAGGAGCCTTTGTTCAAAAGAATTTAAAAATGCAGGATCAATTTTTCATTTTCTAGATTGTTTCTGTGTAGCACAAAATACAACAGTTTATCCTAGCCTCCAGAAAGCAACTTTGCCTGTGAAATATTAAACAAATTTATTGCAAAACATAGAAAACATGAGGGTTCTGTCAGCATGGTGGTGTTTCTAAGGAGTCTGCACATCCCTTTGAACACAACACTTCACAGGACTGGGATGAGGCACAAGGGCCCTTCCCCAAGTGCCACACACCAAAGATCTCTTGAAGGTTCCAAGCAGACAAAGCCCTTGTTCCTTACTGCAGTCTCCTCCACTGTGCCTCACAGTGACAATGTCCAGTCCAGGACAATGGGACTCAGAATTTGCTGACTTCTTTTGAATCTTCATTGGGAAAAAAATGACAAGTAAGGAGGTGTCTACAAAAGGCCACACAGGACAAGAAACCTTTTCTCTCTACAAAAGGCCACACATGACAAGAAACCTTTTCTCTCTTACTGAATGAATTTCACTTCACTACAGGGAACAGCCTGTGTTTGTCCCTTATTTGGGAACATTTATAGTTCTGATTCCTTTACGGATTTTGTCCCAAGGCCTGCAATGTCTCTAAAGACCATTACATAGAAATTCTCCTCTGTAGATTAATAAGATTGCACAATATGCTTAGAAACTGAATTCATGATATGTTTTGACCAAAAATAAGAAAGCTTCCCCTTCAGAGATCCCTGGATAGCTCGATTCTTTGCTAGTGGCATGCCTGGGATTAGACTGGGAGGGAAAGAAGAGGGAGGGAGACAAGAAGCACAGCAAAACAGGTTGCTGGAGAGTCTGTTGGGAGCTATGAAACTTGGATGAAAACATGACTTCCAGAGGGACAGAAAGGGATAAAACTCTTCTTCATGAAAAACAGATAAAGAACTCTCTTTTCCATCTTTTGGTACACTCCAACACAAAGCCCCTTCTGGCCTCAATAGCACAGCTAGAGCTCCCTCTTCTGATTCACTCCCTCCTCCTCTTCAGGATGTGGACCTTAATACTGTCATGAGCAACGCCAGGAGCATCCAGCTGGAGCCTGCACTACTGAGGTGGTGTGTTCCATATCCCATCTGTCAGCATCAGACTGTGATTCACAGAGACATAAAACTGAGGGATGCAAAACCTGGAACTGCATATAAACAGTTCAACTCAATGGGCGTCTTTAGACATGCTCCAAATATTTGTGCAGCAGGCTAGAACCAAAGGTAGGAGTGTCATCTCCAGAGTAAAACTACCATTTGGAGGTAGGCACCCACTCAGGCCGCCTTGGAGTAAACAAGTGTTTGCTGTGTGACTCTTTTCTAATCCTTGTGCAAGACTGAGGTTTCTTTGAGGACCTGAATCGTAGATGTCCAAGGAAATGTGCGCTGAAGTTTTTCATTTTTCTGTAATAGTAGCAAGATCCTACACAAATTCCAAAACAGAATAATTTGGCAGTCTCTCACAGCTAAAAATATTATTTTTTTTCAGTAAGAAAAAAAATTAAGTACTACTTGACGTTCATATTTTTATCATCTTGACATTATAAAACCCAAAGGAAAGACTAGCAATTCCCTTTTTGTGCTGCCAGCATTGGTCTGCCTTTGATTTCCACTATGATATGCCTAAATGTGCAAGTGCTCTTCAGAGAGGCCTGATAAAAAGATATGAAGCATGAGGAGTCTGTTCTTCACCATTTCTTTGGAGGGTGAACTTGAAATGGAGACTCACACACTTCTTAATGAGCCATTCTGTTTTCAAGGCATGTTCATGTAGAATTAGCTCAGTCTCTCTAAAATAAAAAGTTAATACTAAGGGGGAAACATTCCCCACTGTTTAATCCCCTCTAGCACCACATGTGAAATCCAGCCAAGTATCACATGTGTACAGTGCTCAGTATATACAGAATGTGTATGAAGTCAGCAAAACACAATTGCAGGGCTTCTATTGAGAAAAAAACAGAACTGACCTTTTGACAAAGAAAATGCTTCTTTCTCACCCAGTTATATCAAACTGGCTTTATATTTCATCAAGCATTTTGCTTGCCTTTCCATTTTCCTTTTCTTCTTCCTTTTTTTTTTTTTAATTACTATTTAAAATTTTTTTCCTGATCATCCAAAACCTGTGGGAATAATCATAACGTTCGTAATCCTTCCCCTGCAACCCTCCTTCTGCTCCAACCCTTTCTTTTTTTAGCATGTTGGCAGCCCTGATCAATGTTGATTCATTGGAGGGAACAGAATCTGCAAACTCTTCGGTAACACTAGACAAGCTGCTACTACAGGCAGCTGCAGTTGCAGTTCGCATCTCACTGGGGGTTTTTCAGAAAACCCACCCACAACACACAAGGGGAATTCTCCCGGACAAGCTGCAGGTGCTATGGATATTTTCATTTAATATTCATTCTTGCAATTCAGCACATTTGTAATCCATGTGGTAAACTGTTACTTACATTTCTCCCAATGGACCACAACCAGATGTCGAAAATAAGAAGTCCGGTGGAGATATCGCTTTTTCTCCTCTTCGTTGTGCATTTCAATGGGCTTAAAACAAATCTGTTTTCTCAGGACAAAAGAATGTTCCTTTATTTTTAAAGACGCTTTTGTTGACATTAAGAACTAATAAATATATCCAGAATTGCTAATATGTTTTGATTATTTGCAACTTTTTCTATTATACTCATCACCACAGTGCTTTTGTGTTCTGAATGCATGACAGAGTTATTAATGTTTTGGAAAGAAGGAAAAAACTAATACTTGAGCTTTTTGTGTTTAAATATATGCCACAGATTTGTTGGGTCTTTTTGTTTATTTGTTTGGGTTTTTTAAAAGACAAAAAAAACCACAGCATTTGAATCTGATGCAATTTCAGAAGTAATCTCCCATAATATGCACCAATGACAGTAAAGTATCTGCTATTGTCTTTTTCTGTACTCTGCTCACTCCTAACACCTCTAGATACATTCCAGCAGTTCTTGAAATAATATCAAAACTTTCTCTAACAACTCCTCCACAGAGAAGTAGGGGTGGGAGGAGAATCACCTAGAGCCTCAGGTACAAAACTGTTCGTGTTTTTATAAATTTTTAGGGCAAAAATGTAATTCTGCAAAAGAATGTTCCCAGCTTCCTCACTTATGTATCTATCTCTAAACTCATAACACTGACAGGACGGTAGATACAAGTAAGAAAATCGATTGTTCTTTCCTTGGACATCTTTAAATTTTGAAGATTTTAATATTTTTCTCTGTGTGGAAACCATTTTTGTTTTCAGTATTGAATATTTTCCTGCTCCTAAAGACCCTAGAAAAAAAAACAGTGCTCCATATGGCCAAAGGATGTACAATTTTGTTGAAGTAGATAGCTATTGTCCTAAAAAATTGTCAAGAGAAGTTCAATCTCACTGAACAAAGTCATATTCTTCCTGGCACTTCTGAGTCTGAAAAAGAGCAGCGTCTTTACCGAATCTCCCTGAGAAGAGAGTTTGAATGAATATAAAAATCCTGTGAATGAGGACGCCACACTAATGCATTTAATTGGTTTATTAGGGCCCCCAAAACTGGTTTCTTTTGCATCTGTCTCTCCAAAGTCAAGAATTCCAGCATAAGCTTAGGTCATGATTAGATTAGTGACCTCATCCTGGTCTCATATTGCAGACACTGGCCATGACCTCCAGTTTCAGGGCACATGGGGTGAAATCCTAGCTATGCTGAAGCCAGAGGGGCCCAGGATGGTTTTCTCCTCACATTCTTGAGTCCTTCAGGCTTTGCAGCTGTGCTGCAAAAGGGGACATGGCTGTAGAATCCCAAAGGTAAATTGACTGTCCATTCTGCATGTGAAACTGCCCATGTAGAAAAGGTTTAGCTCTTTTAATTCGGACAAAAAGAAGCTAAAATAGGGAAAAGAATTAGAACAGTTCTAAAAGATTGCTTGAAAATGTTTGGAAGAAAAGAGTGCCTGCCTCAGAGAAGACAGTGTGTGAAGACAATGGACCCACTATGCAGGGTACCAGAGTAAATCTTATAATCGTGCAGCTACCAAAGATATGCAAGGAATAACATGAATCGGTATATGGTATATGCTTGAAATCCTACCTTGCCTGGGCTACTGTGGCTCCTTCATGAGAATTACAGATTTGTGTGCTGAGGTGGGAGAGAGCTGAAAAAAATCTCAAGGGCCCAAAGCACTGTTTTTTCCATATGCCTTACCATTACTGAAACACCTGAGCTAAATAACCTATGTTAAGCTGCTGTAAAAAAAAAAAAATAAATTCAATAGCTCTCATTATAGCCCAGAATTTCTCATTTCCTACTTGTGGTGGGATGCCGGTTGCACCCTGGGTTGCTGTCTGGAGCATATAATGACAGTGGTTCAGGGCCCTTTAGAGGTATTCTCTTTTTACAGTGCCAACAAGGTAGTGGCAGTAAAAAGGAGAAGGGGGGAAACATCGAACCCATAACAATGGTGGTGAATGAGAAGCATATGTGCTGACAGAGGAATGTGTTCTGCAGGGAGCTGCAGAGAGTTAGTTAAATCCGGATGGTCGACGGGTTCAGAGATGTGACAACAAGAAGGGAAGGCTAGTGGGAAGGTGACAGGAGACACCAGCACAAAATCCAGTTGACAAAAAATGCATGTTTTTGTGTGTAACTGTGGCAGGAAGAACATTTT